CTGGGCTGTGTCCCATCTCCGTGCCCGTTCCTTGGGCACCCCACTCTTTGTGCACTTTGGCACACAGCCGTGAGCAGGAATGACAGACTGGGGGACAAAACTCGAAGCTGGTGGTTCAGAAATACTTCTGGAAGCCGCCTTTTCAGGGACACCTCCCCCCTCCCCATCTTTGTGATGAGAGCAGGCACACGTAACACTTACAAAGGTTTAACTTTTTTTTCTATACACTCACTCACCTTGGATTGTGATCCTTTGCCGACCAGCTGGACACCTGGGCAGATCCCGGGCCGTCTGGGAGTCTCCTTTCCCGCTCCGTCTTCCCTTGCTCGGCTGCCCTCAGCAATGCTGGTGTCTGCTGCTCTCTAGTGGCCTCCGCTCCGAGCTGCACTGGCTGGGTCAACTTTCTTGTTGCTTACCCCTGAAAAAAAACAGCCTGTTAGGTCAAAACGGCTTTTCCCCCGTTTTCCATTCCCGTGGGTTAGCCGCGCCGGGGACCTTCGGGTGTGGGATGGAAAACCTTTCTCACGCAACAGAACCTCAAGCCAGGAGATGCTCGAGTGAGTGCCTGTGAGGGGCTGGCAGGGTGGGGTGTGGAAGGGAGGGGAGATGCCCAAACAGCTGCAGGGACATTCTAGATCCAGCCCCCGGCTGTGCCCTGCGACAGATTTGACTCCAATTTAGGCCTTATTAGTTTTCAGGGTGTGCGTCGTGAGCGGCAAGTGAGATAAAAGCTGAGGAAAGATCAAAGCAGATTTCATGGGTTTTATGGCTTTGTGCTTCTTGGTTTCACTTTCACGTGTCTCCCAAAGCCTTTCTTCTCTCCCTGAGTGCTGCCCTTTCATCTCCCTCCCCATTTCCACCCGGCAGGCCAGAGCTTGCTGGCCTTCCAGCATGAAGCATGACTTGTGTGCTTGACCCAACTTTCCTTTCATACCCCCAAACGTGAACTGGGTTGTTTTACCCCCAGACAGCTCCTTTCAGTATCAGTTCCTGCTGAGACTCCTGTCCTTAGCAGAAGCTGGGCTCAGGTTTCTCTGTCTCCTTTGAGAGCATCTCTGGGCACAAGGCTCTGGTGTCCAAAGTGCTGATTCAAGGGGTACTGGGTTCAAGAGGAAAGCTTGAGAAGGGGCTTTCCAAGGGGTGGGAGGGCTGCTCATTTCCCCAGAAGACACTAGTATTGCAGCTTCCTTCTCAGTGCAGACCTGGATTTCCCCTCCTTACCATGTGCACTTCTACTTGCTGCTGGAGAACAGTTGCTCTTGGCTTGGGGCTTTTTTTTAACACAGCTACTCCTGTGGTGGCTTGTGGGTGAAATGTGGGGAAAGCATCTTCCCCGAGGAAAAAACAAGTGGGGAGACACCTGGCAAAAAGAGGATAAGGAAAGGCCTCAAAGCATTAAGTGGACATGAGTGAAAAAAATAACTCTGGGTTATTCTGCAAGCCAAGTAATGTGGAGGCAGCTTAATTATGGGCTCAAGTAAAGTGGAAACCACTAATAACTGGGAAAATAGAAAATGTTTAACCAAAGTTGTAGCTGCATTTATCAAGACGTCAGACTCTAAGGAGAAGGGGAGGAGACTCTGCCATAACACTCCTGGGAGATTGGTGCTAGGACTTTCGGGAAGTGTTTGCCTAAACAGGTTGCCCAAACAGGATATAATTTGGCTCCAGAAATCAGAAGGTGCCGTCAGGAGGCTGCTCCCTCTGGAGTGTGAACCTGCGGACCATCTTTGTTGTATTTGTGGCATCTCTTTGGTATCTCTCTGGTCCTCTCCACCCAGAGGTCTGACTGTGAAAGCTCACGTGACTCCTTCCGTGTCCTGGCAGTCCCAGGGTCGAAGTCCTTTTTCCAGTTGCAGGCTTGCTGCATCCTCTTGGTATTCCAGGGAAAGATGCTGGGGGTTGTTGGGGGTGGAAACTTCCCACCTTGTGAAGCAAGATCTAGCTGGAGGAGTTTCCAGGAGCATGTTAAGCCATTGTGAGGTAGACCTGGATGGCTTTTTTGAATACTTTGAGAAGGAAGCGCTAAAAGCCAGAGCCCTTCCTCCCGGGCGCCGGAGATGCGGAGGACTCCAGGCTGGAGTGTCTCTGACTATGCAGGGAGAGCAGCAAGGCCCCGTCAACAGGGGCACAGCTGGCTCACAGTGCACCCACTTTGCTGTCCATTGGCTCCCTCCCCTCGCAGCCCGACCCCCTGCCCCTCATCATCCCGTTGCATCCATGGCCAGGGGTTGAGCCGCCGCCGTCACCGCGATGCAAATCTCCAACGGCGGCACCTGCGGCGTCTAGACCGGTTCCTGCGCCCACATGCAAATGCGTGGGGACGGAACCGGGGCCCACGGCCTCGGTGGCACTTTCTGGGAAAGCCCTGGGATCTCCCTCCTGCCTCACGTCGGCCGTGGCAGCGGCGCGGTGCTTTCGGCTGTGCCGCCGTGCCTCAGGGATAACGCCGCTCCTCGGCTGCGCCTTTCGGATTGACTCGCATCAGAAGCGGCTCGAGAGCTCGGGAGGGCCGGGGGGGTGCCGGGGTGCTCCCCGCGGGGCTTTTCTGCTGCGGGTTGACACAGCAGTCCGGGGGTTTTCTCCTGGGCTCGCTCGGTGCCATTTGCATCTCTGGGGTGGCCGGGATGTCCCAAAAACTGCCCCTGCTGCGGGGCTCGTGCTGACGTGATGCTCAGCATCTCCTGCGGCTGTCCCTGCCGCAGAAAGCTGCTCCACAGAGGTCCTATGGCTCGGCATTGACTGGGGAGGCAGGAATGCACGCCACAGGTCTCAAAGTTATCCTCAGTTCCTCTGGTTCCTGCTCGGAGCCTTTCTCCTTCTGCCTTCTCCCATCTCTTTCACATGTCCCTCTTACCATCTTCCCTGTGTTTGGACAGACGGTTTTAAAAATTCCCGTAGCAGGTTTCTCACCTGCTTGCAGAGGTGTCGCTGCTCTGCTCTCTCCAAAAATGAGCCAACACTGAGATTTTTGTCCCCATGCCGCATCACCAGCAAGTCTGTTCACCTTGGCTTGAAAAAGTGACTGAGCTCAACAGGTCGCTCAGCCAACCTAATTTTGGGCTGATTTCGTTAGGTTTTGGCTAATTCTGGTGCTCTCACACCGAGGCTGAAATAGGTGTGAGTTTCAGGTTTCGGTAGGAGGCATCTTTATCTTTGAAGCAGGTAAAGGACCACAAACCACAGCAGTGAAGATTCACTGAGGTTGGGGTTTTTTTGGGGAATTTAAAGCAAAAAAACCCCATAGTTGGGGTTTTTTTTTTTTTTTCTCCTGCAAGGAGCCCTGGGTGAGCTGTGAGGAAGGGAGGGGTGGGCTGAAAAATTTTGGCTGTGATTTAGGTGCTGGGGGAAGGATTCAGCAGGTGTAAAAAACCTGATAAAAATAAGATAAAACATTACTGAAATAGAAGTCTTGCCTGCAAAGGTGCAGCTGCTGCAGAAAATAGAGAAGCTGTGAAGATGCTGTGTACATGTTTCGGTTGATTCTGGCCTGGATGAGGCCACAGACCACTATGTGAGGGCCCCTCTTCCGAATTCCTGGCATCTAGGAAGCGGTTAACTTAAATATAGTGGCGGGTCAGCTCCTCACCCCCCTTCTCCCTTTTCAAAACTCCCACTGGTGTGCAGAAACATCAGCCACTGCAGTGACTGCGGCTTTTCCTTCCTGAGAAAACACCACATGCTCCTCAATTGCACGTTAGTCGTCCATCAGAACCAGTGGGCTGATTCGGAAACCCTGGCGTGGCAGCCAAGTCCTCCTTCCTTGCCCCCTCCACACCAATCCTGCCTTTCCTACCTGGACAGATTCCGAGAGACCTTTTGTGCTTGTGTAGGTGACTGGTCATCTCTCCTGGTGAATTGCTGCCTTCCCCACCATATTTTTTTTCCCTTCCACCACTCAGCAAAATCAGTCCCAGGCTGGGCTTCTAATAACTGTCTGCAAGGAAATTTAAATCTGAAAGGACTGAACAAAAAGCAGTTTTAAGGCCATGTCCTTTTTCACTCCTGTGACAGCAAGGTGCTCGTTCCTCCTGTAGGACTTGGGGAATAGCTCATGGAAATTTTCCCTGGCCTCTCCATGACCCTGGTGTACAGGGAGTTAAACTCAGTCATCTGGTTTTGGCCTTGATCTCTTGAACAAGGTCTTCACAAGACTTTTGTACTTAGAGGAAAAAACAGGTTTTCAGAGGGAGATGAGTAGCTTGAGTGGAAGACTTCTTTTTTTTTTTTTTTTAAATGTACCATTTTGTTACTATATAAAATGCTGATGCAATTTGAATGCTCCAAATTACAACATTATCACACAAACCACATCACTTTTCTTGTGCCCTCTTCCTTCCTCCTCGCCTGTCCCCTTCCCCTTTGGCTTCCTGGCTGGTGACTTTGCAGACTTTATTCAGGGCAGCCTCTGTCCCATTGACATCCAAGGACATGGGATGCTGCTGTGGCAGTCCTGGGTGTGTTAGTGGTCCAGCCAAGCATGAGATATGAAGGGTCTGAGTGGCAACAGAGCAGAGATCTTGATTATTTTTCTATGGCGAGGCGTTTTTGCTGATGAAAGAGGCAGCAAAAATAGCGTGGGGGAAATACAGCCCTAAGAAAGAAATATGTAAATGTCTGAGTGCAGTAACCCCCCTCCTGCTCAGCCAGGGCTGGCGCCCTGGTTTTATTCTGGGCTTTTTCATGTGGTTGAGGGGTAAATGCTCAGGGGAGTGAAGGGTGATATGAGCACAAACCCAACAGAAACTGCGTGTGGGGAATCCAAATCTGCGCCTCGTCTCAGCGGCAGGTCTCGATCAATAATATTGTCCATTCAGCCTCTGAGGGGCTGTGGGAGCAGCCGAGAAATGATGTCACCCCTCTCCATGCTCTGCTGGCTGGCTGTTGACTGCTCAAGTGTGACCCTTGTGCCTGAGTCGGAGCGTGACTCTCCTGAATAAATAGGGGTGTTTGTGCGCCCGGCTCCTCAGAGCGCCCCTGGGGCCAATCCTGCCGGGAGGATGCGAGTGCCGGCTGGGATAGGGACGGGAGCCCCTGTGCTCCTGTGGCTGCTGCTGCTGCTGCTGATGTCCCACTCAGCCCACGCAGGTGAGCTCCAGGTGGCTTTGCTGTCAGCTCCCTGCTGTGGGTGGGCATCACCCACATCCAGGGACTGGAGGAGATTGGGATTTTCCTGCCTGCTTAGCTGAGGGAAAAAGTGTGTCCGTCCTTTGCCGGGGTCTGGTTCAGCTTTCAGGAGCTGTGTGGGAGCAGGGAACTGAGGTACAGGCACGGCTTCTTACTGTGGTCCCTACAGTGCTGTCAGTGAAAACATGGAAAGGGAAACTTCCCTTGGCTCTGGGAGCTGCTGCATCTCTAACAGCACAGCACAGTTAGTTGCGCTGTTAAGTTGCCCCGTTCTCTCTCTGCCAGCCATCCTGGAGGTGAACGGGAACCTGAGCTGTAGGTGTGCCAAGGCAACCTCGGACTACATCAGTCCCAAGAAATACGAGAGCATTGAGATAAGGCCTGTGGGCAGCACCTGCAGGCGCACGGAGATCATGTAAGTGCTGTGCTTCTGCCGCCATCCTGCTTCTGCACTGCCTTGCTGGAAACCTCTCCAGAACTGCTGCTGGCTTGCTCCCTGCTGCAGGACCCAAAGGAATATTTTCAGCCAGGGAAAGTGGGATTTCCTTATGCTGGTGCTTAGCGGGGAGCGTGCTGGAGAGGGGGTTGTTTGCAGCTCGGAGGGAGCACATCTTTAAACGCTGCGCCATAACTAATTTTCCCAGAATTCTTTAACTGCTCAACATTGATACATTTGTAAATCTCCAGGAAAAAATTGTGTTTGAACCGTGTTCTGGTCTTCAAGTCTCTGCTCTGCATGGGAATGTGTTGCATTTTCCTTGTTCCTTGCCATCCTGTGGCTTCCTCTGTCTCTGGCTGCTTTCTCTGGTGCTGTGAGTGAAAGCTGACTCTTGCCCATCAGCTCTGGCTGCTTGATTCCCTGTGTTTGAGTGGGACAGGAATGCTCAGGAGCTCTCCTTGCGTTTCAGAATTAAGTTAAGAGCTGCAGGGAAGGTGTGTGTGAATCCCGAAGCCCCTTGGGTAAAGAAGCTGCTGAAGCGTATCGCCAGCACGTGAGTTGCTTTGATGGAAACCCCTTTGGCTCAGGTGGTCTTAGACAGCATTCCCAGCACATCTGCATTCCCGGAAAGCGCTCGTGGATCTGGGGGGCTCTCAGGGTGCTGCTGGTGGCCAAGGGACCCACTCCCAAGGCAGTGAGGGGCAACTCTTTGCTGTGCAAGTCCAACACGACCCGTCCACGGGTCATGTTCTCCAGAAACATTTTAGAGTAAAAAAAAAGGTGGGGAGCAGTGGCAGGAGCAGGGTTGGCTCATTGCAGGTGCAGTAGTGTGTCAGTGCAGAGCTGGGAAACCGCCCCACTCTGTGCCCGTGCCGGGTTTGTGGCTGTCCCAGCGAGTGATTCCCACCCCGGGGAAATGGCAGTGACTTCCTTTGCTTTTGGGCAGGAGCTTCCTCCCCAGGACCCACTGTTCTCGGCATTCACACATTTCTCCTCCTTCTGCTTTTTGCAGGAAGAAAAGATAAGTTTCCTGCTAAGGAAGTTGATGCCCAGAGCCCCAAGATGGGCTGGTGGACGATGCCTGGGTGTGCAGACCTGGCTGCTCCTCACCTTGCCCTCGCTTCCCCGCCTTCCTGAAATCCCCACATCTGGCTCCACTGGCAGTGCCTGTAGGGAGGGTGGCTCACTGCTGATCCCAACCCCAGGGTGGGTTTGTGGGGGTGTTTCTCTCTGCATTTGGTCCTTGGATAAGCGTGAATCTGAATCCTTCATTTATTTACTCGCCTGTGGACTGTGAAGCTGTTCTCTGTCAGGGGCTGCTCCTGCTTCTTTAGGAATGACTTTGTGATTCTGTGCGAAGTGCTCAGTGACAGACTGTGTGTCTGGGGTTTGTGTGGCACAGTGGTGTGTCCTGTCCCGAGAGCTCAAGTCCAATAAAATTCAGGATTTTTCCTGCTGTTGTATTTTCCCTGCATTTCCTAGCTTTGAAGTAATATATGACATAGAATCATAGGACAGTTTGGGTTGGAAGGCACCTTAAAGCTCGTATGGTTTCCACTATCCCAGACACCTTCCACTATCCCAGGCTGCTCCAAGCCCTGTCCAAGCTGGCCTTGGACACTTCCAGGGATGGGGCAGCCACAGCTTCTCTGGGCAGCCTGTGCCAGGGCCTCCCCACCCTCACAGGAAAAACCTTCCTCCCAAAATCCCATCTAACCCTGCCCTCTGGCAGCGTAAAGCCATTCCCCCTTGTCGAGGGTCCTTCCCATCCTCAGCTGTTGTTTCCCTCAGTCCTGACTGGAGGCCATGATGTTCCTGGCAGGGAGCTGGATCCAGCCAATGCATCCCACATCCGAGTGCTGGTGTTTGCGATAGGGCTGGGGTTAGCAGGCAGCTGTAAAAATCAATCCAGGCCAAAAAGGAAATATATTGGGAATGGCTGTGAGGTCATGTGGTGGAGTTTTGAGGTAAAAGATCAGAAGCAAATGTCACCAGAGCTCTGCTGGTCTGTGCCTTGTAGGGGGGCAGCGTGGTTGTAGGAGAAATGAGTAATATCTGATCATGCAGGACAGAGAAACCTCTGAACTTGTGGGGCTGTGTGGGCTAAGAACAAACTTGGGGGAAACAGCTGATCTCTTCACAAGACCCGGCATTCTGGGAAGGGGAAAACGGAGCCAGTTTCGGGAAGCCTGGGCCCCTGCCAAGCCCTGAGCCACGTTTGGTCGGCAGCACTGCAAGCTCAGCGAGCGCAGTCAGCACAGAGCGGGACGGGCGAAAACCGCCCCGACCCCGGGGCCGCCCGTGCCGCCTCACTTCTCCTATTTTCCGGCTCAAATAGGGGGATGCTGCCGGTGCCGGGCTGGGGCCGGCATGGCTGCGTGGGTGGCCCTGCTGCTGGGGGTGCTGCTGGCGACCCACTGCCCCGGGGACGCAGGTGAGGCTGCCCTCGGGTGGGCTTGGGGGATGCTGGAAGGGAAGTGGTGAGGCTTTCAGGGGTGTTATGCTGCCGTCTCCGGGGTTTAAAGCGGGTGATCTGGTGAGGTGTGGGGACACATGCACTGCACAAGAATGGTTTTGAGGATGGCAGTGGGATTTTGGGTGATGGGTGAGCCACGGCCGCGTGCCCCACCAGCTCTCCTGGAAACCAATGGCAACCTGAGCTGCCGCTGCCGTAAAACCACCACATCCTTCATCCCCCGGCAAAATACAGCAGCATCGAGGTCCGGCCCGTGGGGAGCAGCTGCCGGCGCCTCGAGGTGGTGTAAGTGTGTCCCGGGGGTTCCGAACCTCCCGCTCCCCCCGTATTCCCTGAATTACTTCACTTTCATGCTCATTTTTATGAGAAGGGTGGGGGGCTCGGCGGCTTGAGACCCCCCCACTGCAGGAGGGGGAAGTGACAGTGCTGAAAGCCCATGTGTTTTCTAGGATTAAGCTAAAATCCCAGGATAGGGTCTGCGTGGATCCTGACACCCCTTGGGTGAAGAAACTCTTGAAGGACCTCCCTCACCTGTAAGAGCCCCCCTCTCCTCCTGAGCGCTCGGTGCTCCTGGCAGGACCAGGGGCATCCCGTGGGGACCTGTTCACACGTTCCTCCCCCTTCTGCTTTTGGCAGGAGGAAGAAAGAGCAGCCCCGCTGAGGAAGCTGCCACCGGTGGGACGGCCAGATGTGCTGGGCCCAGAACTGCCCCCTCTCCCCATCCTGCTGCCACTTCACCCCAGTCCAGAAGGGAGCATCCTCCCACCTGATCCCCTGAAGCCCTTTTCCCTTGGCATTTTATGCCTTTAAACCTTTGACAGTGTCAGTCCCTGTCTCCCTCCCCTCCCACCCTGCAGCCATGCGCTGCGTGTCCTTTTTGGGCACAACCCAACAGGCCCAATAAAGGTGACAACCTGAGGTTACCGTCCCTTGCATCCCTTCCTGTGGCATTCTGGGGGCTCGGGGTGCTCAGGGGTCAGCAGGGGCATAGGGGCTCCAGCCTTTCCCCAAAAACCTGGGACAAACAGGAGATTTTAGGAGGCGGCCGTGGCGGTTTCCGCCTTTTTCATGGGCCACGTGTGTGTGGGGGAAGCAAAGGCAGGGAAGTTGAAGCGTGGGGGCATCTCCTTTTTCCTCCCTCTCTGGCCCTTCCCAGCCTGTGAAATCCCCTCAGGGCTGGCTATAAGGCAGCCCCTGCATTGGCTCGGGGTGGGCAGCCAGGATGCGGCTGCTCCCGACAGCGCTAGCCCTGCTCCTGCTCCTGAGCAACTTGGTGCCTGGGGGCGGTGAGTGGCTTTGGGGTGTCTGCATCCCTCTCCAAATCCCTGGATAGTGGCATTGGGTGTCCCAGATGGGGCTGAGTGTGGGCTCTGCTAAGCTTTCAAATTTGTCTCTCACCTGCCTTTGAGCTTATCTTTTAAATCCTGTGGCTAAGATGGAGGGGGATGCCTGGGACTGGGAGATTTGTTTCATGGGTTTAAGTTGCTTCTCTTTCAGACCCTTGTGAAACTTGAGTGCTTGGTGGGTGGGCAGAGGGTTTAATTCATAAAATACTGTTTAAGTTTTCAAACCCTGCTACTAAACCCCCTCCATGTACAGGCAAAGAGGCTGTGATGGGAGGGATTAGCCTTGCTGCAAACCCCCTTAACATCGGCCTGGCCCTGCAAGTGGCCCCATGAGTGTCTGGGATGGGATGGGATAATGGGGAGGGGGATGTCCACCCCATCTACCTCCCCTTCAGGGGGGCCGAGACCTGGTGTGGGCTGCTCTGGGGCACAGGTCTGTCACTGGAGAGCCTGCTGACCAACATGAGGTGCAAGTGCATCAAATCGACCGCCCAGGTCATCAACTTGGGGCTGATCCTTACCATTGACGTCACGCCGCCGGGTCTGCACTGCCGGAGGAAGGAGATCGTGTAAGTGGAAAGCCTGGGAAGCAGTTCCTGCAAGCTGTGGGTGCTTGTGTCCTCTCTGCAGCTCCCAAATGTTGGGGTGACTCTTGCGAGGCGCAGGGCCGCCGCCGCCTGTTTTAAAGGGGGTTCCCCTCAGTGTGGCTCTCCTGGGTCACGGCCCAAAAATCCCATTTCCCTGCTGTCCAGGGTGTGCTCACATCCGTGCTGGGGAGTTTTCTCTGTCGGTTGGAAAAGCTTTGGGGAAGGGGTGTGCGAAGGGGCTGAGGGGTCTTGTGGCCTTTGCAGCCTCACGCTGAAGAAAAACAAGAGGGTGTGCGTGGCCCCCGAGGCGCCCTGGATCCAGCTGCTCATCCACAGGCTGACGGAGAGGTACGCGGGACAAGCGGCACCTCCAACGCCCCGGCAGGGCGATCCCATCCTCCTCACCTCTTCCTTTCCCTGTCTTCCCTCCCGCAAACAGGAACGGCGCCAGGAGGGCGGCGGCGGCGCGGCCGCGGCGGGAGGCGCGGCGGTTCCCGTCCCCTCACGGTTCCCGCGCTCCGGCCCCGCCGCTGGATTCCCCGCGGGACAGCAGCCACACGGCCGCTCTGCTCTGAGACAGGGGGGCACGGCACAGCGCTGCCGCTTGCCCTGCTCCCGGGGCTTTGGCACGGGCAGGAGCCTTTCCCTGCCTCCCGACAAAAAAGGCTTTCCTCCCTCAGGCACACCCGGCGTCTCCCTCCGCGTGGGATCCCGCCGTATTCCCGCAGGCTACCGCAGCCCATCCCGGGCACCATCAATAAATGATCAATGTGTTTCCCCCCTCAGCTATGGCGGCTCTTTCTCCCCGTATTTTTGGAAAAATTGGGATTTTTGGGGTGGGGAGTTAGATGGGACTGTGGCACTACAAAGCCCTCGGTCGCTTTGCCCCGGGATGTTTTTCCTTTCCTCTGCCTTTTCCTGACAGCTCCTGGGAGGAGCAGGCATTGCAGGAGTTGGATGGGGTTTGGTGCTGGCTCCTGGTCGTGGAAGCACAGGAGAAATAGGAGATACAAGGAAATTTCCTGGTGACTGGCTGCAGCTCTCCCCCTGGAGCCCTGTCTTCCTGGGTGGGGAGCCTGGCATGGCACAGGAATGTCCCTTGGCCACATGGACCGAGGTGATACAGGTGTGACGTGTGGACGTGGCCCCAGGATTATCCCCATTTACAATCTGGCTTGGCCGTGCTGGGAGAAGGTGTCTGAGGTGTGCAGGAATCAAATTTGCATTGTCCACCCACCCCCTGGATGCCAAAAATGCATCCTGGGGCAATGGCAAGCTGGGAAACACACGGCGGGTCCCTGTGTCCCCCTCCTTCCCACACTGTGCTCCTCAGGAACAAGAGTTGGTTGCAAAAGGGCTGTTTGTTGCCTGCAGAAGGACATGGAAGCACACAGGTGGGAAGAAACCAGTGGATGTTTAGCCCTATCCATCACAGGTGAGCAATATCCTATCTCCACAAGGGTTAAATTTAAAAAAAAAAAATTTAAAAAGGTACTAAAAAAAGTCGCAGTTTGGGGTTTTGACAACCTCCCTTTCCCCAGCTGCCCAGAGCTTATGGAAAGGCTGGGCTGTTTAGCTCAGGCAGCACTGGGATTGTCCCCAGGCTGGGTCTGTGAGGGGAGCCTGGGTTTCTGCTGTCCCCACTCCATGGGAATTCATGCAATAAGCAAATTTCTCTGTTTTTTTGCTCAGGTCTCAGTTGAAGGCTCTGGCTCTCGCATGTTTGGTGCTGAGGGCTGGTGTCAAACCCGGGAGACCTATCCCTGTCCCTGTGTCAGGTGGGAACAGCAGCCTCCGAGGGTCCTCCAGATAGGGACTGAGCTGGCAAGGTGACACCAGGTCCAGAGCAAGCAGCATTTCCCACCCCAGAGCCTGGAGAGCCCTCAATTTAAAGCAGAGCTGCTCTTTCCATAAAACAAGGCGTAAATCCCCCTAAAATCGTAGCGTAAGCATGTCCGGGAGTGACACTGCAGCTCCCCCCCTTCCACAGGCACTTCTGTGTCTTCAGGGAAGGGACCTCATGGGTGCAAAGGCAACGCACAAGAAAGAAATCTGACTAAAAAAAAAAACCAAGCTCCCAAAATGACCACTGTGGGATGGGGTGGGAGCCTCCAAAGAGGATGAGCCCAAGCACTGGGATTACTGTCTTCATCAGTCTCACAGGGAGGGATCGCACCATACCTGGATCTACAGCTTTATAATATTCTCCTAAAATTGTTTTTAACTTAAAGTGATGCTTGGCAGAGAGGGTTAAGATATAAGTGGTTCCCACCAGGTTCTCTTGGGGTCTGTATCACCTTAAAATACCCAAGGGAAGAAAGAGGGAAGGAGGGTCCGTGACCAAACTTGTGCAATCTTACCCAAAAACTGCATGTACTTCGGGAAGACCCCCCAGGAGAACATCCCACCTCCGTGGTAACCAAGCAGGACAAGGACCTGCTGCTCTGTGATGCTGATTTTAGCTGAACCACCTCCTGCTGCTCTCATGTCCCAGCGTGCCAGGTAAGGATGTCCCCGAGTCCCTAAAGTCTTTCCCTAAATCACCTTCTGCATTAACTCTGAATTTCCACACTTTTCTCCCTGAGCAGAGCAAACCCCAGATTAAAAAAGGGATCTGAACCTTGGAGGTCTCAATTTCTCACTCACGGTTTGTAGCTGACATCTCTCTCCCAAGCCTGGATGTGGAAGGCTGGTCTTCAAAAGCCCAATATTTGGGATTAAGTGGGAGCTGCAGATGCTCACAACCTTTGTAAAGTGAAGCTTGACAGGGTGAAGATGGATTTAGGAGTTGGCAAGGTGGGAGCCTATCAGCCCTCCCCATGTTATCTGAATGGTGGAAATCACGTCGAAGCTGCGTTCTAGAAAGGGGAAGAGTCCAAGATTTGGGATTTCTAGCCCATAAAACAGAACAACTAGGACACTTGGGAAGGAAAGGTTGTCTGGGACCCCACTAGGTCATACCTGGAGAAGGAAAGGTGGTCTGAGACCTCACTGGGCCATCCCTGACTGCTCACACTTGTTCCCGCTCCTTAGAGTGAAAGAAGGAAACAAAAATATTCAGCTGCATTGTACAAAATTCTCTCTTTTTTTATGTATATATATATATATGTATATATTTACACACGCAAAACCCCCGTATGGAACAGATTTACCAGGTTGAGTTTTAAAAAGTTGCTTGTAGAAGGGTGTTGGATTTTGTTTTCTCTGCTTGCTTTAGGCAGTGCTGTCGCTTGGGAAGTGGACACCAGGCACTGTGTTTTGGAAAGGCAGGAGCAGGCAAGGGCTTGGAGCCTTTTTTCCAGGTATCGGCTGCGACATGCTGGGAACTGAGGGGTGGTGATGGAGAGAACGGCTGGGAAAAAAGCACCATTCCCCTCACTGCTCCTGCTGGGAAGGGAGAACAGAAGGGAGCTGGACAGGAGAAAGGCAGGTAAACATGTGTATTGACTGAAACATAAACATGACTTTTTTTTGGTGCAATGTCTGTTAAAGTAACATTTTTACGTTAAGAACCACACGGTGTGATGGGTGTTGGGAAGTGCATTTGGCAGCAGAGAAAATCCAATGGAACACCTTCCTGCAACGGAACTGTCAGAAACCAAAGGAAAATCCACCTTGAGCAGCTAACAACTTTTGCCAGGGTTTGGGTTTTTTCTGTCCCCATCCTCTCCCACTCCGATTACTACAAAGCGTTTGGTGTGGGGTTTGTGTTTTTATTCCTAAACTCCTCTGCAGTTCACAGACAACCATGGGTGACTTGGAAATTTCATTTCATACAAACAGCTCAAAAGAATACCGGGAGCAAAGTATGGTGGGAATCACTGCTCACATTGGGATTACCGTGTGTGGAGGAACAGGAGGAGCAGGTCAGTGCACACCTCCAGAGAGGAGCATCCCCCTTCCCAAAAAAACATACAGCAGCTGGTTACGGAAAGGTAATGTCCACAGAATTAAGTTTTTCATGCTATTCTACTTTCCAGTACTCTCAAATCCATGTGCCATGGCCAGGTGGGGAGGGCTGAGGTATATTCAGAGATACCTGTACCCAGAGGAAAATCCATCTCTGGAAAGGGCTCTTTTTTTTGGGGGGTGGGGGGGGCTTTTTGGTTGTTTTTTTTTTTTTTGCACAAATCAAGTGCTGCACAGGAATTTCCCCCAGCTCCCATTGCTTCCAATTGATCACAGACCATGGATGACGCCTCCATTTTTTAGGCACTTCTTTTCCAAGGGAAAAGGTGTCATTTTTTGAACCCATTTTTGCATTCTGGCCCACCCCACCCCGTCCCCAACCCCCAGCTAGAGTCAGGGAATAGTTTCTCCTCTAAGTCCAATTGGGGTCTTTTTTTTCATCTACGGATAATATCCCCAACAAAGGAAATGTTTAATTTAAAGAGAAACAGCCTGACTTGGCAGTTTTGCAAGACAGAAGATGGCTCCTTACTATTTAAAACTAATTTCACAATTTAAATTGGACCTTTTTTTTTCTTTTTTTAAAGCATACGAATGAGACATAAATATAGGCTTATCAATCTGCTTAAAAATTTCATTCACATCATGGAAAATGTTTTTCATTTATTAAAAATATCACATTTGGAGACTAGAAACAGTAAAGTGCATGAAAAGTTTCAAATAGAAATTCAAGAAAATCTTATAGCAGCAAAAAAGCAGAATAAAGAAAAACTTAAAAACACAGACACGACCTTTTCCTATCACTGTGCCTTTTTTTCTTTTTTTTTGAACATTAAGCAGCCAAACAGGTTTGTGTTTTGTTTTGTTTTTTTCAGAAAATTGCATCAATGTTTAATGCCTCTTCAGGCACAAGGTTTTGAACTGGCCACCCAGAGCATTAAAAGGAAGGAAAAAAGGATTTCCAACACATCCAAAGAGCATTAACAGTTGGGAAGGAACCAGCAGCTTTTTAATTCGACCCTGACCAACAACAGCTCCCAAATAAATTGGCATCAGGAGGATTTAGAGCTCGAATTTGATCATAGATATTTGGCTATCTTTGGTTTTCTGATAGTAGTGAGACGAGGGGCAGGGCCACTCTGCCAATCATTTATAGTCAGGTATTAAGTGCTTCACTAATGTGCAAATTTTATGTTGGATGCAGAGTTCAGTCTCCGTTTTGGGTTCAAACAAACAGTATTTCTAATATTCTTCCTATAAAACAAGCATCTCTAGTTTTGCTTTTCTTTCTCTTAAAAGGTTGGCTCATTTTGCCACGTTCTGGAAAAAAGCATTACCTTGAAATACGTTAAATGCCAAGTTTTTAATCTCACTTGTCCGTTTAGAAGTGCAGCTTCCTACTGAAAAGGAAAAACCAGTTTAAAATAAAATAAAAAGACCCCAAACAACTCAAAACAAAAATTAAATTAAAAACCTGGAAAGGGGAATAATACTTTGGTTCCAGCCCTAGTGCCAAATGATACCAATATGCACCAAAATGTGCAAAATCTCATATCAAACACATAAGGAAAAGGAGCTCGAAGAAGCAGCTTAAGGTTGGCCATACTTCACTCCTATATGCTTGGATTTACAAGTGTACAGGTCCGTGGGGACAGGTCCGTGCCCTTCCAGGGGCAGGGCTGCACTACCTCCGGCTCGGGAGGTGCACCCCGTTGACGAGAGGCAGGAGCGGAGGGTGGAGTTCCAGCTGGGTCAGCAGGGAGAAGTGGTCGGAGGGGATGTGGGGGTGTGGGCACCCAGTGATGTTGTTGTCCACCAG